ATATATTGATATTTATATAATACAGTCAAAAATTATCAAATGATTTTTTTACTTTTACAACATATTTAGAGTGCATTATTTGTAAATTTTCTGTTAAAAAAAAAGAATATTCAGAACAAATGTAAGTTTTAAAATTATATTTTTTATTTAACTTTAATATGATTTTAATAAAACTATAATTCGAAAAATGTATACACAAAAAATATGCAATATAAAAATTAACTCAGTATAATAAATTTATTTGTTCGATATTTTTACTATGAAAATAATATATACACTGATAAAACAATATGTAGTTAAAAAGAGGGTTAATCGTAGTTAATCGTAGAAAGGAGACCATTACCTACTTATGACATTCTTACAAGGTAAAAATCAGTTAGTCGAACACGTCAGGTGTATCTTCTTCGTAATGAATATCACATTTGTACGGATTGATTTAAACCGTTACAATTCACCATTTCTAGTTCGACGAAAATTATCGAAAATTTTACCAAAAATATAATCAGATATGTTCATTTTTATGATAATAGCAAATTAAATGCATACATGTACACGTACTTATAAAAAAAGAGATCTTCATGCAATATTAAAACAATCAAATCAAATATCAAATTAATATAACGCAATCATACGTGACTTGTTTTATTTTATTCATTAACATTACACCTCTGTACAAAGATAAAACAAATCGTCCGTATATCGATCTTATTCCATTACATTCTCATTTATTAGCAAATCGCGGGTTTGATGCTATCCAAATAGCAAATATTGATCGACGACCGAATTTAGCTTTTAATTGGAAACGTTTCGTAGATAGGAAGGCAATGTTAGTCCAATATTGTTAATATGCTACAGTTCGATTGATAATGTTTAGACATCTTTTTCGGATTTCTTTTTTATTAAAAAAAATTAAAAATTAAAGGCATTATTATCTTTTTTATAAACTTTGTTAATTGTTTAGCGGTAATCTGTACTTTTAATCATTTTAATGTATAAATTATTAATTAATTGATGATGCTAATTATTTGTTAAATACAGTTTAGCCAATGTTGAATCAACTGGCCAATAATTCTTTTAATCAATTAATTACTATTTGTTGGACAGTGTTATCAAGAGGCTATTTTGGATCCTTTTATTCAAGAGAATTTTTCAAATAAAGAATCTAAAGTTAATTATGGAAATGGATAGTATCTTGTCAACAAAACTTCAATCCAATAAAAAGAAAATGGAATTGAATTCTAATTCGAATGCGGATTTCAGTCATGCGTGTAGAAATTATTTTAAATAATTTATATTTCTACTTAAAGGAATATTATAATGTGAATGTCCGTTCCAAGGTGATTTTTGAAAATTAAATTTATAAAAATAATTGGTTGAGCCAATATGGTGTAGCACTACAGTCGTAAAGGCGTGAAATACGAACTGATGTCCTAAACATAAACATCATATTTTAATTGTTTGTAGGTATCAATAACAAAGATACTTTGGGAGTACAGCCTTATACAGAATGGCAGAATGACACAACAGAGTTGAGAGTATATCCAACAAAAGAAGCCAACATTAAGACTACAACCGAAGCAAAGAAAAAGTCTGTAATGGACTTGAAGATCAAAGGCGATCAGAAATACCAAAAATCCATTGTCAAAGATGATGATTCAAAAAGGATTGTAGATTCTGATGCTTTGATGACGTCATCGATTTCATCTATGACAGCTTCAACAAAAGTAGATCAGTCTTCAACAACAGTGAAATCTGTAATGAATGCTACAAATGTAGTAATTCCATTTCTTCTTCATGGTGTACCGAAAACTATAGCTGGTGTAACGAAAACAACGCCAATGAATAGGTTTGTTCACCAGGATATAACAAACAACACAATGGAGGCAACAGCATCGTTGAAAGGCAGAGCTTTAAACGTTACCGCTTCGGAGCCAACGAATTCATTGCACGCTAATATCACAGATCTTAGTGATATCAGCATGGATGAAGATGACAAAGAAGTTGAAGGTATTTTAAAAAATATAAGATATCGATTTTTTTCATTTATTAATGTTCACGTCGAGAAGACTATTAGTTTGTTTTGTATATATAAAATGTATTTTTAAAAATTAATTTCAATATACATGTTAATATATATTTCGTTAAAATATATTTCGTATATGTAAAATATAAGAAACAGTTATTATCATGTTTTACATTATATAACAAATAATGTGAAAATTTCTATTTTTAGCTTTACTTTATTATTATTAGCATATTTTATTCACAAAAATTCTTCATTTAAATATGTAATTATGCAAAAAACAACTAACATTAAGAAAGATTATTATTTTTTATAACAAATATTTATAAATAAAATGCTGATTAACAAAACTAAAACATTATTTCATTGGATGAATTTACAAGTCCAAAGTAAAAATATTTTGATTTTTATTTGTGTGTGTGTGTGTGTGTGTGTGTGTGTGTGTGTGTGTGTGTGTGTGTGTGTGTAGTAATTATA